GAATTCTAAAAGTCAGCTGTGCATTTGAAAGAAGCTGAATAAACGACATCAATAAAGCTTGCTTCTGATGTATAGCTTACTTGAAAACGACCAACGACACACAAAACATGCTTGCGAGTGCAGAAATAATGAAAATTTAGGATTTTCTGAGAATCAGCTAACAAACTAGATACGAACTCGTTGCGAGCAACGAGAGGTCTTCCGTCCGATTCAGGAAAAAAAACTCGAGCTGAAAAGTGATTCAAAATTTTGATCACAAGGATTGAATCCAGGTCGCCAATGTGAATTCGCCTTTTTTTCTCTTTTCTCCCCAACGCGCGAACCATTTAGCTATTGGGAATACTGCTTTAAATATACTAACTTGTGTATACTTTTGCAACAATTCACCTGTCTAAGAATCATAAAAGTCGGGCCACTATATATTCATAATTTCGTGTCAAACGCCACGCGTAAATATTCGCACCTTTTCTTTGTACTGATCTGTTAAAGAAGTGCAATAGCTTCAATGAAATTAATTAAATAAAACATTCTTATCACCTTTATTTTATTTCAGCGTTAGTAAAGTATATTGAACACAATGTATACATTACATATTGTATCTAGCCCAGTAACACTAAAGCAGTGAAACGGAAATTAAGTTTTTTAAGATTGACACTGAATTGCAACGTACTACTACGTGAGAGTCTAAGTAGTTTTTTGCATTTCATGTATCCTTATGTCAGAATGGTTTAATCAAACGCTCAGCTGCCTCCATAAGCCCCTACTCGCTAAATGTCGGAGTTGACAGAGACAGCCGCCATCTTGGGCCCGCTTCAGATTTTCAAATATTAATATCTAGAGTTCAGATTAACCAATATTAAAACAACTTATATAGTAAGCATCAATAGAAGTGTCTCTATTAATTTTCAAAAAATAAATGAAAAATAATGAAAAACAAAGAAAGTTGAAAATTTGGACTTTTTGAATTGGCTTCCGGTAGCGACAGGAAGTACTGACGATGAACGAAAAGTTGCATCCTGGAAAGTATTGATCATCATCTATAAACTCTGAAAGTTTCACATTGATATCATTTACCGTTTTTGAGTTTAATCGTGGACAAAATGTCGTTTTAAAATCAGGAAAATGGTCCAAAACTTAGCACCAGAGAGGAATTTCCAAAAACTGTCTCGGAACTTTCAAGAGTATCTCACAACACATCTTTCCTGAAAATTTCATGTAATTCTATCCAGTAGTTGTCGAGAAATCGTGTCATAAAAGTAATGATAAGAAAAAGAAAAAGTGCAATAACTATAAGGTCTTCCGTTAAGACGGAAGACCTTAACAAATAATAGGTCGGTAAATCTTCTTCGAATTTAAGCTTTCTTATGAATAAAATAGAAGCGGGTAGTTTGAAACCTTTCTAAATGTGAACATAAAAATGATCAATTTTTTTTCTGACATCCTAAATCAATAAGACATTCAGTATTTAATAATAAATTAAATGGTGCCTGTTTTGCGAGGTTACAGATGAAATTGACATCCATTGGAAAACCATTGTCAACTATGGTTTTCCATGGGGTGTCAATTTCAACTGTTACCCTCCAAAACAGGCACCATGCATTTATATAATCTACACTACCCCAGGATGCTTCCACATTCTCTTCGGTCTTAGCTTTTCTGAGCCAGCTAGTGGTTCTTGTAAAGAAGATTTTTAAATGGCCAATGACAGCCCCGTCCTATTTTTGTCTTTTCTTGATTATCTCCCATTGTATGAGGGCTTAGCCTTTTATTTGTACAATACAAACTTCCCTTCATGCAACGAAGTTTTGTATCCATTTTGGTTAAAATTGCTCCAATGGTTCTTGAGAAGTTGAAATGTGAAAAGTTTATACCAACAGACAGAAGGACAGACAGACAGATGGACAACAGGTGATCAGAAAAGCTGACTTGAGCTTGATTTCAGCTCAGGTGAGCTAAAAACCTTTCTCTTTAGCAAAGTCCTGTGTACAGTCTGAAAAAGTAACTTTGAAAACTATACATTATCTCAGTTAACTCCTCACAACAAAAGCATCATGTTCGTGGATAACATTTTTAAAATACCTATAGAAAGATATGCATAGTGAAATAAGTTCTATTGGTGTTTTGTTCTTATGGTATTATTCTACTATTGTTCAAAATTTCATTGAAAACTGTTTGTCAGTAACAAACAAGATATGTTTGTGAAACACCATGCGCCCAGCTGCAACAAAGTTTAACATGGTCATAAGGTCATTAAACTTGATGTCATTTGAAAGAGCTTAATTAATATAGTAAGCATACCAAATATGAAGTCTTTATCTTTCATGGTTCAAAAGTTATGGTGAAGGTTAAAGTTTGCATTAAAAAAGCTATTTATAGCATGTAGGACCCAGTCAAGGTCACAAGGTCATTGACCTTAGTGTCATTTGAAAGAGCTTCATTAGTGGAGTATGCATACTAAATATGAAGTCTTTATCTTTCATGGATCAAAAGTTATGGCAAAGGTTCAAGTTTGCAGACAAACAGACAGACAGGACAAAAACAATATACACCCCGGTTCTATCGATTCTGGGCACATAAAAATATATATCATAGTAAAAGTATTAATGAACAGACGGATGGACTGACAGACAAAATTGCTGATGGACATAATTACATCAACAGTGTGCAGCTTCCTATGTTAAAGGCTACTGCCTTTTGCAGCATACTATTTAATCCCCTACGGATGAAACAGGAGTAGATTGTACAGGCTTTTTCCGAGTATTAAGCGTTAGACTTGCACCCAACGGGTCAACATGTATGATCATAATTATCCCTACTTGACCCCCTTCCAAAAAATTGAAATCTTCTAAAATGAATTTTTCCGTTTTATTACTTACAGGAAACTCCACTACGTAGTCGGAGAACCAGTGGGGGGGACGTCTAATCCTCTGTGATCGTCGAAGTTCCATGATTCTAAAATAATAAAAGCTGAATTATAAATACATAACATTAAGTTATATGTTTCTTGATTTTGAAATATACACATTCTGCAATATACTAGATTAGTAAATGTATTTCCACTGTGTAGGAAGGTAGACAAGTTTTTTTCACGTGCATGATCAATCGTTGAAACATCAAAGTATTCGACAATTTCTATTATTATTACATTTTGTTGACTTTGTATATATAATCATTCAAAATATTATTAAATATTTATATTGATAAAGGTACTTGAAAATAAGCACATGGCATTCTTTAGCATAATTTATATTTCCTGTGCCAACTCTCAATTATTCATAACAGGATATTCTTAGTGCAGTATAAATGCAAAAAAATTACATTTAACAAGTGAAAAAATTTTTTTTTTTTTTAATTTATTTTACGAGATAAACAAGACAAGATAGTACATTTTCAATAGCAAAGCACAACTGTTTAAATCAACATTTAAAATGTTACGTTTACACATTAAAAACATAAGAAAAACTTTAATTTATGTTTAAAAACAGAATCAATGCACTAGTCAGCACTATATCAAAGTCTTTTAGAACAAATCACAAGTTTAAAACACAGAATCAATGCACTAGTCAGCACAATATCACAAAGTCTTTTAGAATATCACTTTCTCAATGAATATCACGTTCAGCAACACAGTCCTGGAAAAAGTTTGTTATGCAGCTCTGGCGACGATCGGCTGATTTCAATTCTTCGGCGGTAATACGCTGCTGAATTTTCTGCAGTGCGGGAAGTAGGTCACTTGTGTTTTCTGTCATCTCTGCCCAGGTCCAGATGAGTTCAACGGCACTTGAAACTGCTTTCATAGGTGGCTTTTTGACTGGTAGTGCCTGTGCGTCTATCATCTTCACCGGCGTCCTCGTGACATAGCCAAAGGATATTTTCTAAAAATCGCAGCGGTAATGGTGGCCTCGGATGTCTCTACGTTGTCATCAACTCCAGCATACTCATCAAGGGGAATTCTCAAGCGGAGGGCAGCCAAGGGGATGTCATCGTCAGGGTCTTCATCTTCGAACACAGCCTCTTCTTCGGGTGCACTGGTGAAGTTGGCATGTCGGAAACAATTTTGAATTGTTTTTTCCGAGACTTTTGCCCAGGCTTGATTAAGCATACGCATAGCGTCAAGGACACTAATAGTGAGCTCTGTCTGATTTTCAATTGCTTTCAGCTGCCTCAGAATGACCAGTTTCCTGTAATGGACTTTCAGGTTTTGAATAATGCCCTGGTCCATTGGCTGAGTTTTCTGGTTGTGTTAGGGGGATGAATAGAGACAATTGAATCCCGTGACTTTGGGATGCGCTGGAAAGTTGTCAACTACCAAGGCAACGTTTCTCCCTTGATAGTGGAATCATTAACTTACAATATATTGTCAAAATGAAGTTATCCAAGCTTTACTGTTCGCTTCGTATGATGTTGGTAAACTTTTCACGTTTTTGAAGCATCTAGCGTTTTTTGCCTTGCCTATGACCAGCAAAGGCAACTTGTCTGAACCAGACATGTTTGCACAAGCGAGCACAGTTAGCCGATCTTTGCTGCTTTTGCCCCCGTGGCAGTCTACACCTTTAAACTCTAAAGTTTTATCAGGTAGTAGACGAAAGAACAAGCCTGTTTCGTCAGCATTGTATATGTCAGAGGGATTGTATTTGTCAAGAAGGGTTTTCAAATTTGAAGACCACTCTGTCATAGCGGTACTCTTTTCATTTACGGAGTTTGACTCCCCACACACACGTTTGAACGTTATAGCATGACGTTCTTTGAATCTATCCAGCCAACCCATGGAGTATTTAAACTCTGTGTCGCCGAGCTGGGTAGCAAATTCCTCAGACTTTGCCATTAGAAGGGGACCGGATACGGGAATGTTCTTATCTCTGGCGGCCTTAAACCATTGTAGGACTGCCTGTTCCGTATTTTCATACGTTGCTTTTCGCATTTTCTTGCGCTGAGGTCCAAAACTGCTTTCTTCATAGGCCAGTTTAATTTTTTCGGCATTTTTTAGCCACGTAGACAGGGTGTTGTGGGGGACTTCGTACTTCTTGGCAATCTCGGCTTTTGACAGCTGACTTCTTTCGACTTCAGTTATAGCTTGAAACTTTGTTTCAATAGAATGGACTTTAAGTTTTCGTTTAACACCACCAGATAATCCAACTATCCCCCCGGGTTTCAGACCGGGTCCTTCATTGGATTGCTTATCTGGCTTGTGTTGAGACATGGTGCATACTGATGGCCTAAACCATGATTTCCTTTTTATAAGTAAAGTCAAAATTTTAATTGTTTAATTTCTTGAATCTATTTTCACTTTGATGTTATCTAAATCACCTTGTAAATTTCTTAGCGTGCATCATTATGTGCATTATGGTTTATGATAAGGTTTGTGTGTTTACATTAATATAATCATGTATGCATTTTCATTAAGTACCCAAGCTGTTAGGGTCAATTATCGTGTCATCGATGTCTGAATACGCTTGGGATTAATTGATTTTGAATAAACATGGACAAGAGTCTAATTAAAAAATAAATGGCTTACATGTAGAAGGTGTGAAAATCTGACAGCGTCAAGATTCACGGGGTTATCCGTGCGCGACGAGCGACCATTCTGGGCACTGTTATGTTCACTGAAGCGGAAAATTGCCCTGACATCGACATAAACCAGGTAAATTTTGCTACTGGGACTTGAAATATACGTCGAGATAAGCGGGGTTGTCGAGATTACCGAAGTCGACATATCAGAGTTTTTTTTAATCATTTATATAGGAAATACGGCCGGGACCGCGGACATACGTCGACATATCCCAGGTTGTCGACATATCCGATGTCGAGATACCGAAGTTTACCTGTACATAACATTAAGTTATATGTTTCTTGATTTTGAAATATACACATTCTGCACCTATATACTAAATTAGTAAATGTATAGACAATATGTCTTCAAGACCATTACATACAAAAATGTTATAAATACATAATGAATTGTCAATATTTAAGTGTGGCAGACCACTCATACTGCAAAATAACATTATTGCTTGTATGAGGGTTGTCCAGTAAAATCTTTTTACCCTGCATTCTTGATTATACACTGTAGGAGTCTCTACCCTGTGTTCAAGAATAATAAAATCTTTATTTTTGAACATATTTTTTTTAAAAATCAAGATGCGCATGCACTTAAATATGAACATTCAAGAATAATGAAAGAACAAGATGTGTTTGTGAAAACTATATGCCCGGCAAAAAAGTTTAAAAAAGATTGAAAAAGCTATTTTTAGCATATAGGTCACATTCAAGGTCACAAGGTCATTAACCTTGAGTCATTTTAAAAAGCTTAATTAGTGGAGTAGGTATACCAAATATGAAGTCTCTATCTCTCACTATTCAAAAGCTACGGCTAAGGTTAAAGTTGACAACAGACTGACAAACAGACAAACACACAGACAGGACAAAAACAATATACGCCCCGTATCAATTCCGGCGCATAAAAAGCTCACATATCCCATGCTCCCCAAAAACTCAAAGTACGTTCCAAAATTCCTGGAAAAATAAAGGAATCAGGGGCCCGTTTTTGATGACTTACTACTTAAGACCAAATTCAAATCTTCATATGGTAATATGCACATCTACACATTGTGTCCTATAAATATTTGCGAAGTTTGACAAAATTCTGAAAAGCGGTTTATAAGGAAATGCGCTGACAAAAAAAAAACAGGTTTGACTGACTGACACACTGATGGATAAGTCAAAAACATATTATACCTCCCAAAGCTTGTTGCATAGGGTATAATAAAATCTTTTATGAATATATTTTACCACAAAAAAAAAATTAAGATGCACTTAAATATGATTAACATTTGCTGAAAATTTCAGTGTTAATTACCGTAAATCTGGAAATTTTTACGTTGATTTTATTTTGCGAATTCTAGTCAAAATGCTGTTGATTAATTTTTACGTTTCAAAATTTTGCGAATGACCACTGCTTTGTTTACATTTTCTTATTGGTAATTTTTTTTTTTAGAAAAATTTTTTTGCAAATGCAATGAACTAGCTTATTTGCTAAAAATTTATCTACAGCAAAAATTTCCAGATTTATGGTATGTCATGAGCCCTGTTAAGTGCGCCCATTTTTTTTTTTAAGAAAATGTTTTAATTATTCCAATGTAAAACTTGGATTCCCTATTGTGGCCACCACTGCATTTCATTTCCGGAAATCTGCATAGCATTTCCGACAATTTTTTATTTCATTTCCGACATTTTTTTGTTTTCATTTCCGACATAATTTCGTTTTCATTTCCGGAATTTACCTGTGCAGCAATTTAATGTTTTCCTAGTTAGCGAAAATGAAATCTTAAATGTATTTATTGCAAAATATTTATTTAAAATATATTTTTAAAAAATCTATTTATTATATACATATATGCATACAAGTAGCAATATACGAGGGTTGTCCGTAAAATTCGTGGACAACATTGATAATTACTGACAAACATTGATAAAATATATGAAACTATTATTTTCATTAAATTCATGTTTCATTTTATTAACATGCAAGTTTTCAACAAAATCTAAGCACAAATAGTTATATTTTTATCAGATTAAGAAAGGCACACACTCATACCCGGAGCACTAAACTGAAAATTCTTGACGTTACCTGATGTCAAAAGCATAATACGAGTACATGTAACTTTTCTCAATATAGTCACCGTTTCATTCAATACATTTCTAAAATATGTCGCTTTAACCAGTCATAAATATGCGCACAAAATGTTCAGGTTTCATACGTAAAGTAATATTTAATAATGCCTGTCTCATATCCTGCAATCCTCTAATCTCTCTCCGCGTAAAAACGATTTTATTAATGGAAATAAGATAAAGTCACGTTACGAAGTTCATTTTTTACAACACTGCAATATCGGAATGATCGTTTTCCTTCTCGCATGTCATCCTGTAAACAGTTCCTTCCGTCCGAAAATATTACATATCACTTAAATACTAATGTACGGCTCCTTTTACTAAGTTTTTCCCGGTTGTTTACAAAATGTATTGGTCTCTGTATGTATTTATCCGATGTCTATGCAGAATTTTATCACTCCTCACTGCTCCACCTATTCCGAAAACGTCCCTTTTTTGAACAATTCCGATGCGTCTTAACATGTTCTAACTTTGATTGCTCAGCCATTTTACAACTTTGAATGTTCAAATTTTGCACTTTTGAAGTGATAACTTTTGTCAACCTCATAATGTAAATGTCATCCAAATTTCTACTTTATTTTATAAAATACAAATGAAATTTATAAAGTGATAAATAACTTTTTAATTAAAATTTTGCGGTGCTCCGGGTCTCCATTCCTAGTCTAATTATGAAGTCATAATTGTATTTAAACATTTGAAATTGAATCAGATTTTACATACCTCAGTTCACATTTAGTAAAGGATTAAAAATATGCTAATAATAAATATCATTGACGCAACTTTTATTCAATTCTCAGCTTGTCCACGAACTTTACGGACAACCCTCGTATAAGTCTAGGTTAAAGAATTCAATGAACATACAACTTCTTCCCCTCATTTAGGCTAATGTGCACTTAAGTAAATGTCAGTGACAGCACCAAACTTTTGTCCAAGACACTTGATGTACTCTTATCCAGTTTTTACTCCGGTTGATAATGCACTTATTACACAGAACTTTATTTTTTCTGCTTTACATCTGCGCAGAGTAATTTAGTAAACATTGAGTCAATCTCTCAAACTTTAATTAAGGTAGTTGTGTTCATTTTGCTACAGTTGTTTCATTGATAAATTTACAAATAACTATATGTTTTCCTTTAGATTTTTCATAGGTAAAGTCTTCAAAACTGTAACTAAAGGTTCTATCTGAAAATGTCGGAAATGAAAACAAAAAAATGTCGGAAATGAAAAGTTGATAATTACTCAAAATTCCGGAAATGAAATGCAGCTGTGGCCACAATTAATTTAACCTACCCTCAAGGGTATAATGATTGAAATAAACTTGAATCTAGTACACTACCAGAGGATGCTTCGATCCACTTAAGATTCAGCTTTTCTGGCCCAGTTGTTCTTGAGAAGATTAAACTTAATATATAGATTTTTGAGCTTTATTTTTTCTTAAACATTGAGAAGTAAAACTTGGATTCCCTATGATTTGATCATGATTTGAACAATTTAGAATTCCCTCTACCACAGGATGCTTCAAAATAAGTTTCAGCTTTTCTGACCCACGGTGGTTCTTAAGTAGGACATTTTTAAAGATTTTTCTTTTAATTCAATGTAACCTTGGACCCCTAGCTTATGTGACCCTACCCCACTCCCCCCCCCCTCCATTGAAATCTGAAAAATCTGATAAACAGATTTATGTATCTAAGTCCACTTGAGTAACATTTAGTCATACTGAAATCAGACCAAAACTTTAGGATGAGTAGCATTTTGAAAAATTGTTTACAGACAGAAGGACAATGGACACCTTACTAGCACATAAAGGTCTTCTAGTCTTTGAACAGTGGAGTCAAAAATTTATTCAATTGAATAGCTCCTTAATACTATTGATTCAGCATAATAAGTAAACAAGCAAATTTAAAGAGTTATGGTCCCCTGCTTTCGGTTTCTTAGTGGATGGGATGCCATTACCCATGGCACACCGTGTCAAATATGTACACCCTATCATATGTCATTTAAAATTTTAAAGTAATTATCAAAGTTAAAATTTTTGAAAATTAGGTTAAACATGAAGGTCAAGGGGTTAAAAATTATAGCATGCTCGGAAACATCTTGTTACATACAATGCGCTTGTCAAATATGAAATATCTCTATCTCTATGCCCAATCTCTTTTCTAAACATAGGTAATCAGAGATTACAGAGCTCACCGCAACGAATGTTGTCTTTAAAGTAAGGCAAAGTCACACAATTAACCAACAAAAAGTGTACATCCAAAAATGCAAACTTTATGCAATTTTCATTTGATATTTTGGAATAGACCTATATAAAAACTTCAAACTAGTTCTTTTCATGAAAACGTAATTACAATCCAGCATCTGAAGCAATTTTAAGAGTTTTCATCCCTTGATGCATCATTTGTGCAAGTTTGGTTTATATAAACCTAATAGTTTCTTGGTAAAAGACATGCACCCATAACTTTTACGGGGAGGGGGGGGTCCATTATCTGGAAAATGTATGTCCAACTTCAGCATCTGAAGCAAGTCCATTAGTGTGCATCCTAAGATGTGTCATCCATGCAAGTTTGCTCAACATAGAGCTCAAAGTTACTTGGAAATGAAACCTTTATAAAAAAAAAAAAACTAACCTTTTCACTAATCCAGAAAATGTAGGTCAGAATCAGCATCCGAAGCCAGCCTAGTAGAATGCACCCTTAAATGTACCATCCATGCAAGTTTGGTCAACATAAGCTTATAATTACTCGGAAATGAGACCTACACCAAAAACTGCACCAAAAATGTTAACCTGCTCCAAAAACATTAACCTATGTCATTCTTTGTGAAATTGCAGCATTTGAAAGTTAAAAAACTGGTACAATGAAACACACTAGAAACATCTTCCAAATGTATTAATCAAATAGGACATAGAAGTTTCAAAAAGTTAAAATGCTCCAAAAAACTAAATAACCCGGACGTTTCGCCGATACAAGGGTCTTTATATTTTCCCCTAACTTCGTTGAGGTGAGCTAAAAATTGGTCAAACTTCAAGGTCACAGGGTAAAAAATCATAGTATATTTAGAAAGATCTTGTCACAGGTAATACACAAGTGTAACATGAAAGTGCTATCTCTTCTCATTCAAAAGTTATGATGAAAGATCAATTTAAATTTTTGA